AGGAAAGTATCCACACATACATTGTCAATTCACTTTCAACAAAGGTGCAAGCTGATTTGGTGGAAAAGGGGTATTTGCCACAAATGGTGTCAGAACAACTGGATATTCATGCACAAAAATGATGAACTTCAATCCATACCGGATCATCTACAAAATGCAGCTCAAGAGGATTATAGACCTGAATGTAAATCCTAAAGCTGGAGTCCATGTAGGGGACCTTAGGAGGAAGCCTGTGGCACTGGACCAGGCCATAGTTTTTTTGGGTGGAAATTACTGTATTTTTCCATGTATAAGATGCTATCTTTTTTCTGAAATCGTTAGACTGAAAATCAAGGGGCATCTTATACACAGAACTCAGCTGAGGAGGGAGCCATGAGGGTGCACAGCTGCCCATACCTTGTCAAACAGGCCTTGTCCAATCATGAGCCTTATTGTTAACTGACGTCAGCTGATGCTGTAATTGGAGGTGGGGAGTGCAACAGGGACCTGAGCGTTCTGAGCCCATAAAGATGTCAGAAATAAAAAGGTAAAAACCGGTAAGCGACCGTCTTACTCTGCAGAATTCAAACTGAATGTGATCAGCTGTGCAAAGAGCATGGCCATAGAGCTGCAGAGAGACAGTTTGGTCCTCCCACTGAGTGTATGATCAGACCGTGGAGAAAACAGGAAGAACAGCTCCTTAAGATGCCCAAAAGGAAGAAGGCCTTAAGAGGAAAACCAGCAAAATGTTTAAAATATTGATTTCTTAATTTTGGGTTGGAAAAGTGGAGGGCATCTAATGAATGGGGGTGTCTTATACATGGAAAAATATGGTACCCGTTAAAGCAAAAAAGAGAATTGATAAACTGGACTTTATAAAGATGAAGAAATTTTGTTCTTTGAAAGATACTGTTAAGAGGATAGAAAGACAATGCACAGTCTGGCAGAAAATGCCTGTGGCTCACTTCCCTGACCCAGGACTTGTGTTCAGAGCAGATAAAGAAATTGCCACACTCGTGACAGGTGAACAGACAACCCAGGGAACAGCGGGCAGCAGATTCGAAGAGACGTCACCAAAGACTATAAGCATGTGGCTAGCAAGTTTATGAAGAGATGCCCACAGCCTTACTTATTAGGGAGATGCCAGTCGACGCAATAATGAGCTGCCACTGTACCCTTACTGGAATGGACAGAGAGTTTTGGCAAAATGCAAGTGAAATTTGAACTCTGCTGCTGGGAATGTAAAATTATATAACCACTTTGGAAAACTTTTCAGCAGTTTCTTAAAATGTTAAACATCCACCTGCTATACAATCCAGCCACTTTCTGCTCACATATTTACCCCAAAGAAATGAAAGCATATGTCCATATAGAGGCCTGGACAAAGAGTCTGCAGCGGCTTTCGTGGTAAGCGCCACACATTGGCAACGACCAGGTGAATGGTGCAGTGTGAGAGCTGGATTCCACGGATTCCGATGGAGGGGCCAACGACTGATCCATGTCACAGTGTTGGAAAAGCTCCGGAAGCTGTGCGAGGCGACAGAAGCCAGACAAGACTATATTACACACACTGTGAATATAAAATTCTAAATGTGCTGTCTTTCTGAACTTAGTGCGGATGTGGTGGCTGCCGGGAGGAGGGCTGGGAGTGTCGGGCGCTGTGATGATAAAGTGGGTGGAGGAAACGGGTGTGTGCTCATTATCTTGATTACAGTGGTGCTGTCACTGGTGAGTCCTTAGGTCAGAACTGATGAAATTTTACACCTTCAGTATGCAGTTTATGTCAGTTATCACTCGGTGAATCGGTTAAAATGAATATTTTAAATTTTTATCTGTGTTGTGATTCCCTTCATTGTGCATTGACAATGGAGAATTATTCTCAATCTACTTCCTTAGTTGGCCTGTGAGCTTTTACTGAGGGTGTTTCCTGGTTAACATTGGTGCTACAGAATGTCATGCGTGTTCTGCCACGCAGGATGGGATCCTGGCCCTGGAGCCAGCGCGGGGTGGGGGGTGAGGGTGAGGGGGCGGCACGGTGCCGCCCCGCTGGGAGCCTGGCTCTGGGGAGCTGCGCTGTAGCGTGCAGGCACCTGTGAAGAAGATGAGGGTGTGGGAATGGGTGCTGATATTGCTAAAATGGGGCAGCACCTTGGGAAGAGTGGCTGCCGTTTCCCGCTGTGGGCAAAGGTGTGTTTCTGAGCTGGAAGGCCGTCTGTACACTAGAGGGCTTACCTTATCAGGAAGAGTTTGGTGTGGTGCCCAAAGCATCCAGAACATGCCTGAGATGCTAGGGACTTAACAAGAGATAGAATACACGAACTTTTATCTCTTCAGCACTAATGATTGAAAACCGCAGTTTCTCTGTTTTCCACCAGACCTAACCAAAGCAACATACAGCAGTCACGGTTTTCCACCAAAAGAATATAATGTGCTATGAATCGTCTAGATCAGTGGTCGGCAAACTGCGGCTCGCGAGCCACATGCAGCTCTTTGGCCCCTTGAGTGTGGCCACGAAGTTTCAATCGAACTGGAAGTAACTTACTTGGAAACCCTATGGAGGGAGGTCAAGTGCTGTTGAGCAAAGTAGAGGCCAAAGACCATGCACTGAAGTTTGTGAGCTTGACCTGGAGGGCACAGCTCTGATTGAGGCCCATCAGCTCGTAGGCACATGTGTGTAGATGGTGCCCATCCCCAGCATCTCTTGGGGGAGGGGAGAGATTATTGTTGGACATGTGCAAACTGCTGGTGACAAAAAGCAAGAGCTGATACTCCTGGCAGGAAGGGAGTAGGGAAGTCATCCCGCCTGTTAGCACCTCTGGGGCTGGGGCTGTTACAGAAGCAGAAAGTCACGCAGTGCTTTTGTGTGTGCCAGGTGTGCTGCTTGTCCTACGTGCATTGTTTCACTTAGTTCTCACCACCACCTGTAGGCAGGGTCCTCGCCTCGCTTTCTAGAGAAGAGCCTGTGACTCAGCAGGTCTGGCACATGGACATGCTGATGCGGCTGGAACCCAGGTGTCTGACACTCCAGGTGGGGCATTGAGCCACTGTCCTGTGAGCCCTTCCAGTTATTAATGCAATAACACAATTGACTGTGATGATAACCCCTTTGAATGAAGAAAAGGGTGAAGGTGTTGAAAGTCTGGAAAGTAGAAAAGTACTTTAGAACAATTTTTATTTTAAAAAGTTCAAATTAAAGTTTTTCCACTGAAAGATGTTTCCCCCTAAAATCTGTGAAACATTTTAGTTCCTGCTAAGCTAAGTAAGTTGTCAATTTCATTAAATTTGCCTACATTTTTGAATAAGAAACTGTAAGTTGAATTTTTAAATTCTGCCCCCTTCCCTACTGAAGGTCAGTCTCTCTATCTAGATCAGCGGTCGCCAGCCTTTCGGACCTCGCGGACCACCTGCTGGCGACAGCTGCTCTAGAAGCTCCACAGGACACACTGGCTCTTTCTGTTTGTATCCCATGCTGTTCCGATGGGGCTGGGCGGTGAGGGCTCACGGATGTTAATTTGTAACCACCACCTTGGTCCCCTGAGAGCTCACGTGCAGTGTCTGGTGCCTGGATTGACAGCTGCAACCTCATAGGTTTGTGTTCTGCTCTCTAGTGGCTGTGTCCCCAGATCCCGGCGTCCGCGCCTTGGAAATCCAGGCGGGAAGAAAGCAGGTGCCCGCTTCAAACGCACGAAATTCTAATCGTAGCATAATTTTTATCTTTGACTTTGGATTTTGTAAATTTTATAAAGATTATAGCCATAATTTTGAAAATCAGTTTTAAATTTCAGTGTTTTACCTTTTTTAAAATTTTATTTTATTACCAGAGACCCGATGCAGGAAATTCAATTCATACAAGGGGCTTGGCCCTTGTAGCCGCAGCGGCTGCCTCAGCCCTTGTAGCCCAGGCTTGGTCCAGAAGGTCGTCCAGAAGGACGTCCAGGCTAATTAGCATGTTACGCTTTTATTATTATAGATTTATTTCAGAGGGGACGGGAGAGGGAGCCGGGGGGGGGGAAGAGAGAGAGAAACATCAATGATGAGAGAGAATCATTGATCAGCTGCCTCCTGAATGCCTCCTACTAGGGATCGAGCCTGCAACCTGGGCATGTGTGCTTGACCAGAATTGAACCCAGGACCCTTCAGTCTGCAGGCTGATGCTCTATCCACTGAACCACACCAGCTGGGGCTCAGTTTTTTACTTTTAAAAAGTAGGAGGTGTTGGGCCAAGTTCTGTCCCAAGGACACACCTAAAGTTCTTTTTTTCCAAATTTGTTCTTAGTTGCTTTTTACAGTGGTTTTCTAAAAGAGTGTGGTATATGTGAGAAAGGGAAAAGGGTATATAAGCTTCCCTTCTCTTTCCCACTTGTAATTGCTTACTAAAACGTCTGTGGTGTGGTGTTTTTTAAAAATCCCAGGAGCTGGCGCTGCCACAGGCTGGCTGTGCACCTCGGCCGGTCTGGTGACCTGCCTCCACCGCTGTCGTGTTGGGCGGCTGCTGGGACGAGTAAATGAGTCCGCATCATATCTGTAAATCACTTAGAATAGTGCTTGGCACATAAAGGCTCAATAAATGCTAATTATTACTTTTAGGGTTTTTATGAGGCTTAAATTAAATGAGATTATGCATGTAAAATGTTTAGTAGAGTATCTGGAATTTATTAAGTGCTCAATAAATGCTAGTGGCTCTAATGTAAATATTCAGGTGCCAATATGTCTAAAGAAGCTATGTCTGTGGGTCTCTGCACATGTCATATCTGTAGTGACTATTTCAGGGTGTGAGGAAAAATTCATTCCTATCTTGGCTTTACCAGTAGGTACATGTTACAAAGTTGCACACAATTTAAATAGGTAATTACTTTCTGATTTCTAAGGTTAGGTCATTTGTTAGGCCACTCTCTTCAAGTTTATGTTTATTTTACTGTTAGAAAGCACAGCGCTCTAATGCCACAGTTTAGCGTGGTCATTTCTCCGCCGAGCGTGTCGTGTCCGTACCTGACCTGGCTGTCTTCTGTGTTGCCCTCTAGGTCTGTGGAACCTCGCTTCTCTCTTCTCCAACCTTTGTTTGTTTGTCTTGATGCCCTTTGCCTTCTTCTTCCTGGAATCAGAAGGTTTTGCTGGCCTGAAAAAGGTGAGTGGCCCGTGTTTTGGAATTAAATTAGTTACATGGAGAAGTAAATACCATTCATGTTGAACTATAAAAAGTTGGCTTAAACAGCCATTTGACGGGAATGTAATAAGTTTAATTAATAACAACACCTTGTTACTATTACTATTAAGAGTATCTTAGTAACATTGCTTATGAACTGACTGTGAGTCCACAGGGACCAGGGCGTCTTTGACCTTTGAGTGCTCCTGGGGGTGTGCTGCCTGGCGGAGTGTGCCATGTGGAATGGGACACCCAGCGCAGTAGCTGTTACTCTCTCTTAGGCTCTCTCCTCTCCTTTGGTTTAAAGCATGGAACAAAATTCTAGAAGCTTAGAATGTATCTTGATGTAAGTTATTTCATGTCCAGTGTTTTCAGGATTGTAGCCTGTTAGAGCATTAGACATGCTCCATTAGACAATCAGATTCCCAAGGTGCTGCAAGCTACTCCTGTGAGTGGGTAGGAGGTAGAAGTGGACCAATGGGAGACTTCGCAAGAGCATCTCAATTAGTCAGACTTTCTAAGTGGTAAGGACTTCATCCATCCTTGAATATGGCATTTTAAAATGAAAGGAATATTTTTTACTTATAGTCTGTGGAGCTCTTTGCTATAATTTTTGGAATATAATGCAAAGATTTAAGTAGCTAGTACTTTTTGGGTGACTTTTAAACTTGACAAAATGAGCTTGTGTTACAGTTTATTTATAGCACAGTATGCCTTTTCATTTTTAGTCTATTCATGCAACATATGGGGGAAAGTATGCTGTGTACCTTGTTGAACAGTACTGCAATGTCATGTAAATAAAGTTGGCTTGGGAGATTGTAAACTGTGTACTTTTTGTTTCACGTCACCTTTTGTGGGTTCTTAGGAATGAGATTGTTTAGCCAGTGTTTGACGACTCTGTTGTACACCTGAAGTTCAGCACGTTTTGGGCCTGCTCACCAGAGGGTGAGGTGAAAGTGTGTCGGTGGGCCTGCCTCTCTGGTTTCCAGACCTGGTTCATAGGTCAACGCTTAGTCGCTGAGCCACACTGGCCGGACATCACTGGCTTTTATTTATTGGAGTTGTTTTTTATTGTGATGCGTTTAAATTACCTAAGTCATCTATATAATGTGAAAAATTACATAGTTTAAAAAGCTCTTTGTTGTAATTTCTTGAAGAAATTATAGGAAGTGTTGCTGAAAGGGATTTCGTTCAAACCCTCCTTTTATAAGGAGACATCTGAGGCCCAGCGATATTAAATGTTATTAAATTGTCCATGAAGCTCATATGTGCAGGCGCAGAACTAGTACTAAACCCAGGGGTTGCTGCTGAGCTTCTGAAGTGTTTGTGTTGTTTGCAGCCAGCACTGCAGGGAGCACAGTGAGGGCCATCAGGTGGGAGCCGGCCAGGGACAGTGGGATGGGGAGGAGAGGCCAGTGGGTTGGGGAAGGAGAGGCCGGATGGATGGCGGAGGTCGGTAGGGGGTCGCCTCGGGGCAGGTGCTGTGGGTGCAAGGACTGGAGCAGAGCGTGCTCCTGGACCATCCCTGGTAGTCTAGAACGGCTTGTAAACTACAGCATTCAGGAGGGCCGGAAGAATGAGCATCGAGAAGAAATGAGGTACTTGAGAAACCAATTCCGTAGAATTTGGGAGCCTTTGATTAATATTCATTCATCTGACAGTTTTACTAAGCATGTACTAGGTAGTAATTATCCTGCTATTATAGGAGCTTGCCAGGGACAGAAATGGAAAGAAAGGCTCCTGACTGGAAGGGTGTCGAGGGAAGTCAGGCAGGTGAGTAGCCTGCGGGGTGGTGGACTGTAGACTGCAGCTGCTGCGGAGGTGCAGAGGAGCGCAGGTCCTGGTTCTGCGAGCCCTGAGAGCCCCGGGAGGTACAGAGGCCGCCTGCTCTGGAGCTGGGACCCACCCGCAAAGCAGGAGGAGTAGGCGGAGCAGGAGGAGTAGGCGGGTGATGGCCTAGTCCAATGGTTCTCAACCTTCCTAATGCCGTGACCCTTTAATACAGTTCCTCATGTTGTGGTGACCCCCAACCAAAATTTATTTTCATTGCTACTTCATAACTGTAATTTTGCTACTGTTATGAATCGTAATGTAAATATCTGATATGCAGGATTTATTGTCATTGTTAAAAATTGAACATGCCCTAGCCAGTTTGGCTCATGGGTAGAGCGTCGACCTGGGGACTGAAGGGTCCCAGGTTCGATTCTGGTCAAGGGCATGTACCTTGGTTGCGGGCACATCCCCAGTGGGGAGTGTGCAGGAGGCAGCTGATTGATGCTTCTCTTTCATCGATGTTTCTAACTCTCTATCCCTCTCCCTTCCTCTCTGTAAAAAATCAATAAAATATATATTTAAAAAAATTGAACATAATTAAAGCATAGTGATTAATCACAAAAACAATATGTAATTATATATGTGTTTTCCGATGGTCTTAGACA